CCCCCCCCCGGGATCGATTACTGAATAGGTTGTACTGCACACCCCTCCCCTCCCTCTCCCCTACCTCTTACGTCCTGTCTGCATATATTTTGGATTTAATCAGTTTTAACGTTGTTTTCTTCACTTTCCACTTTTTTCTCCACTTTCTTACCAGTGGAGGAAAAAAGCGTCAAAACTGGCTTAACCCAAAATCTAAGAACGAAAGGACGAATGAGACACTACTTTTCAAAGGTCAGCTTAGATTTCTTTACGTTATTTCACATTTTTGACGATCTTATTGAGGTTTTTAAGTATCGCCATACATTTCCTTTTAACAAGACACCACAGCTGGAAACCTAGCTTGGGCTACCTGTGCGTGGAACGGAGTAGCTTCCACGCAGCTGTTGTTAGGAAAACAAGAAGGAAACAATATGTGTAGAGATATTGGCGTCAACTTTTAGCTGAGTTCCAATGTTGCAGAAAGGCAAGATCAGACTTGCCTACACGGTCACGGTGGCTGATTCATTTTGAACAAAACTTTCGTTGACGCGTCAATGAGCTCGAAGTTCATTATGAGGTGCGCGTGACTGCAAGAGATATTGTGAAGATCACTGCAGCCTCTAGGCCATGTCGCAACTTGTGTTGTTTACGATTCACCCAGCTCGTTACTATTGAATAACTGCCGTCGGTAGGCTTTTAATAACCAAAAAAGTAATGAAGTTAATTGTTAATAAGCAGTTCTCAATGCTCTTTTGTGCAACAACCGTTAATGGTCTTAGTAAAAACATTGTTTAAGGTTCGGTGAAGATAAAACACTTGGCTGACGCAGGAATTTTAAACATCACGTAACATTGAGGTTAAAATCCACAGGCCTTGTGCGATAGAATATTTTTGTTTTTGCGGAACGTCTTTTATTTACGCATTCTCAAAATTATTATCATTCATTTTTTGCATGCGCCACAAAACTTGCATTCGTTAAACTGCAAGAACATAGAACCAAACCATGCAAGTCGCTCGAGGAAACTAATTGTTGGTATGATTGAAATAATGAAGCGAAGAAATATTTTTGTTAATGGAATTAAAGAATTTCAGGTCTGTCTATCCTGTGCATCCGATGAGCTATGGTGATAGCGCACTACATCCACTAGTTCACAAGGATATGAAAATATCCTTTTTATCAGTATGCGGAGTATAGATAAACTATACAAAACACTCATTTTTTTTGAACGGCTAATAGTGCGCAGCTAGGTATTAAGATTTTTATTGGTAACTGACAGGATCTTAATTTCTAGAAGGATTAACCAGCGCTTTCAAGATGTGAGTTTCAAGTTCTGTGATACAATCGTAACTGGTATCCATTTATGTTTAATGTTATTGATCACCGTTACTTATACGACGCACTTAACTCGAGCTTTAACTCGTTAAGTTTCTATCACAGTATCGTATCGGCAACGAGCACGAAATCTTTGCGTATATCGTAAAAACTGATTTCTAAAGGAGTTAAACGAAAACCCAGGGCCGAACAAATATCCTGGCTAGAAAGATTATGCCAAAAAACTATCAAAAATGAGAGGATAGCTGAAAATATCCAAGGTAGCTGGGCTGACTAGATCTCGTGCACAAGCGTTTCGTGAGTGCAGACCCTTCCTGACAGCTTAACCCCACTATGAGTGTCAAAGAACTTCGGCAAGACGTAAACAAGTGACCAGTACCAGAAAAACGTACCTAACAATTAATAATAAGTAAGAATTCTTATTATATAAAGACTAAAACACGGATGTTTAAAGCACTTGCATGGGACGAGATAACATGACTGAAGAAGGGTGGAGCGAATCGAAGTGATATAACGGATTCAACTCCTCTTATACCCGGACCGTGCATCGTATGCATGCAAGAGGTCCCTAGGCAGTCTTGATCTATATATAATAATAATAATAATAATAATAATAATAATAATAATAATAATAATAATAATAATATAAAGAGGCTTGTAAAGCGCCTATACAAGCCGGTTTTAGGCGCTGTAAAAAATAATAAATAAATACGATACAAACATAGATTACAAATCATAAGCAAGTTTAAATAAATAAGTCTTAAGTTCAGTTTTAAAAGATTCAAGAGAGGTATTGTTCCTCATAGGATTAGGCAGAGAGTTCCACAACACAGGAGCGGCAACGGTGAATGAACGATAACCATAACACT